GTCGATGTCTAACAGGTAAGATCAGCCCAAGCAGCCCTTTTTTTCTATTTATTTTGAAGGTTTACCACTAAATTTTAACAAGTAACTGCTATCTTCCATGGTAAGACATAAACAAGAAAGAGAAAATTTAGGGATTAGATCACTTTGGATCTTATAGATGCAGCTGAAACCCCAAAAATACAATAAGCAATATTAACAAACTTAAACTAAAGTCTTAGGCAACTAGATACTTGGGTGGAAACATGCTGCTCCGATCCTACTGACTGATCACCTAATATTTCTCTTTGCCTTCATCCATTTACTTTATTTATTGTTCATAAGTACAATATACTGTAGGATGTTACAATAATAGATAATGGGAATATTACTTCCATAATCTAAAGTTTGGTAAACTTGTTTCATTGTCACAGTAAAGAAGCATTTAATATTTTTTTGTTTTGTTTTTATATTTTACTTAGAATTGCAAACTAAATAGTTAATCAAAAGTACATAAATGCTAATTTACTATATTTAATGTTTTCTTTTTTTAATGCATGGAACAGTGTCAAAACTGTGTTGCAACTCGAACATTTTGTACTGTGTTTAGAGACGCTATTTGTTGTTTCCGATTTCAGTCTTTTCCTTCTTCCATAACTTTAATTTCTTCCTACAAGCATTGTTGCACTGCTCCATTAAACACAGAAGTGCAGGTAGCACATTGTACCAAATGGGATACCTCAGTACAACTTTAATTAAATTCTATGCCTTTGTGGTTAAAAAAAAAAAAAAAAAAGACGGGGGAATATCCTCTAGTCGACCTTTGTTGAAACAGGTGAGCTGAATTATGAATGTACCGGCTGACTAGCTGTACGGTGGTGAAATACTGAAACTATTTTAAACATGCTCCAAATGCATCTCTTGGACAATAAGCACTTCCATTCTTCTGAATAATGAAATCTAGTTCAAGTAATGTAATGAATCATCACCTCGGGGAAGCTTTAAGAGTAATTTAGTCCATAATTTGTGTTGTGTCAAAGATGCTTTTTTTTTTATTTTATATATTACAGAACTAAAAACAAGTCTGATACTTCAGGCTGGTGAAAAAGCACAAACTGTCCTTACTTCAAGAACTCTTCTCTTCAGACAGTCAATTTTTTTTTCCATCTTTGTATTGATGGTTCAGAACAATTACTCTGTTACCTCTATTCAAGAGAGAGATGAAGCTGAAGTACCCAAAGGAAATCCACACATGCACTGGGAGAGCATAGAAGCTCCAAGCAGAAAAGACGGTTATTTGAGAACTTCTCAATTTGTGCTATGAGTTTCACAACTCAGTCACAAACTCACACATTTTGCTCTTAGAAGGTTCCTCTTTATGCTTTGAGGCCTGTCCTGTAAATCTGGATAAATATGAGTTAATTCTCAAATTTCAACTCAAAATCTCCATAATTTGTTTGAATCCTTCTTAGGTTTCACATAATATGCAGTTCAGCATCAAGAATGTGCAATATATATCAGTTTAAAGCTCAGTGGTTCGAACTGGTTGCTTTCAGAATCTTACAGAAGACGAGTTGGCGAACTACTGAACAAGATCTCTGTTAATGCAACAGAGCATCATTACTAAGTGCTCAATTTCATCTGGTGTTTCATGAAGTTGTCTGCAAACAACTTTGCTGTCAAGTCTTTTCCTGTTCTAAGTTATTTTGTTTTAAGTTTCATCCCGACTCTGATTTGATGGAATTCCAGCCCGTCTTGTCTTTGTGGAAATGAACACGAGGGATGTTATCGCTGTATAAGTGAGCCAGGTTTGATCTTCAGCATGCCGACATGTCCAGCTTGTTGTGGTTTCTTCTTCCACCGTTTGGTCTCAAGGTTTTTCTGAAGGTTTTTCTTTTTTTCTGTGTATTCTCGCTGTGCTTTTCTGTCCTGGTGGTGGAAATGTGTTTGATTACCAACTGTTGTCAGTCAAGATGTGCTGGTATAGCATTTGTAAACAAAGGGACTGTTCTGCAAACTCTGAGCTGATGCTGAATCTCAGTATAATTTAAAAGAACTGCAGATTTATGTGATGGTCTATTTTTTTTTCCTTGAATTGTTTATTCACAGACAGACTGAACATACAGCATTCTGTTTTTTTTTTCTGTATTTTTTTTCTTATCTTCCATCTTTTCGTATCTAAATTTGTACCAGTAAAGATTTTTTTTGGCTCAACATGTTTCACATATATTGTATTTTAGATCCTTTCTGTGTTATTATTTTTACATTTCCTTTGATCTCTTATCTGCCGTTTGTTTCTTTGCCTTCTGCATTCTGATGTAAAACACCTTTACCTCAGGACACACCACCAGCACACATAAACAACCAGCTGCGTATCTTAAGATCTCTAAGGTGAAAATATGCAGACGTACATAAGTGCTTTTTAAAAGTTAAATTGTTTACCCCTAAACCTCACTAAAAGCCTTGATCTGGTGTTTGTTTGCGTGTGTGTGTGCACATGTAAGCTATGCATGTACACACACACACACACACAAATATGTACATCTTGACAGACTGCTCCAGGGCAGCAGTGACTAAAAGTGTGAATGTGTGTGTAAATGACTGATTTCATTGCAAAGCATTTTTGATGGTGCTGAAAAGCGCTACATAAATTCGATGTCATTTCATTTCATTTTTAAACATAGTTGTTGTATTTACAACACAATTAATAAAATTTCTCTTATGATGACCTTCAAATGAGCAGATTCAGAGTTTCATTGGTAATTTGTCTCAGTTTGTTTTCTTTTGTTAAACTATCCTCTTTTTCACTAACAATCCAAGAGTCAGGTTTTGCCAACTTACCGATATACCTTTTTATTTGATAGTTTCAATAAACTGCTTTATACAGTTTAATAATCTCCAAGCACATTTTATGTTTTTAAGCTACACGGTGGTGCGACACGTTTTGTTGATGTTCTGTAGATTTTGTTGCTATTCTTCTGATTCTCCTGACATATCTTTTTTTTCCCTCCACATCGACCAGCGTGATTTGAAGAACTGATCAGTTTATTACGATAAGTATACTTCAACACTCTGTAAAACCCATCCTGAATTCCTGACGGAACAGAATCTTTTCTGTTCCATCTTTTGTGCTAACAAAATAAAAAATACACTTTGTCATCTTTAGTCATTTCTGAATGTGTTTGATGTGAATGAAAAGGGTTCCATGACACTGTGACGATGATATTGAAAATACTAAAGGGTAACTGCTGAATCCAGAGCACTTTGTGATTAGTTGATAATGATGAAGAAGTCATTTATTTCAACAATTTATTTAGCAGTATGCTAAAACTAGTACAATCTTTTAAGTATAAGCGTCATAGTTTAAGCAAAAAAGGTAAAAAAAAAAAAAAAAGGCGGCTAGTGGGATTCCCCTATTTGTACCATGTACTTGCATAAACTTCAAATGTAATTGCAGCACAGACGATAAGGCAAGACACCATTAATGTAGATAAGCTATATAGGAGCTACAGAGAGAAAAAAAAAATCTTTTGTTTTGTATTTTATGCTAGTTTTATAATGCTGCCTGTCAGATTGCCAAAGCTGTGTGGGTGAAAGTTTGAAACAGAAAGCGTGGCTCAGACTTCAACTTTCTCATGATGATGTTCAACCTTTTCAGAAAATGTTTCAAATTGCGAGAAATAAACACTAAAATACAGAAGTGTATTGCTGTCATGAAGGAAAATAAATGTTTGAGCGCTATCACATTATAGCCTGATAGTTACATTGTATAAACATGATCATTTCTTATACAGAAGGTGGCGGTATTGTGCTTTTAGTGCAGGCATAAAGAAGGCTAGTACTGTGGCTAACAGGAGTCGGTCAAGTTTTCCTTCATGTTTGGAAAAGATTTTGTTTTTTTTCCCTCTGTGATAGCAACACGCTTCGGTGCTAAAAGGGAAAACTCACTAGGAACAGAAAGTTTCTGCCCAATAATCAGACTCTGGACAATGACAATAACTTCTTTTTTTATGATCTTGCTATTTGAAACTGTAAACATTTGATTTTGTGAAAAAAAAAAAAAAATCTAATATGTATTGATTTCAGATTAACAAGCAAACAATCTACGTAAACTACAATAATTCACCTTCAACATTGTCCATCCATATAATATGTAAAATCTTAACCAAAAAAAAGAACTATATCTCAAGAAATATAAAAAAATATATATGGTGTCAATGATTCATCATAGTAATCCTTTAACTAGAATGGACTCTTGCTGTTTCTCTGATGGCAGTAACAGGCTTCAGCAGTCTTACTTGTCAAATCAAGCTGATATCTCCCCACATTTAAAGTGTAAATTTTCCTTCTTCGCTTGCACAAGCTTTCCTTAATGAGCAGAAAGTTGCAATAACACAGATAGCGATTTTAAATTAGTCTGTGGATTTGAATAAGTTTCCTGCTGTTATCAAATAAACATTTGGATCCATTTATGCTCACGATGGGAATTGGTCTTCCTTGTTTGACTCCGATAGTCATAATAGTGTTTCTTGTTTGCTCAGTAGTCAAAGCATACAATAATAATAAGTTTAAAAAATGGTTTAATGGTTCTGGTCAGGCTATTTTATTTCCTGCTCGTCTCTACAAAACCACAAAAAGGAGAAGATGCAAATTGCTTAAAGAAACATATCTGGCAAACTTTCTGAGGGAAAACTTCGTAAAAGAACAAAACTTCTGGTGAAAATGAAAGACTTGTGCTTGGAAAATAAATGGTGAGGCAAGAAAAGATGTCTCCTGCCAAACAAAGTGGAGACCACAGAAACCACATGCTGCAGATCCTGTGTTTCTGTATGTTTCACGGGCGGTGCTTGAATGTCTGGAGTCCTGACGAATGCAAGTTGGTCCTTATGATGAAATATTTAGTGACAATATATGCGCTCCTTGTTTTCGTTATTATTTATTTATTTTTCTTTTGGTGATCCTGTGAATGCAACAGACTGTGTAAAAAAAAAAAAGAGAGAGAGAGAGAATGAGCCAACCAACTCCTACATGTACTTTTAATGGGTATCATAAAGTAAGCAAAAAATATCAGTCATTAATGACATGCTATATGATAATTAATGTAAACTAACCCCCAGTCTTGTGAAAAAGACATAAAAATAACAGTCTTGCGTATATATAATCAGCATGTGGTTTAAACCTACAGAAGGGAGTTCTGAGAAGAGCCAGGTACATTGAACCTGCCCTTATCTGGTTCTCAGTTTGCTCCAGCATCTTTATCCCATTTAGCTAAACTCTGTGACCATAACACGTATTTCCTTAACCCTCCTGCAGTGCTGGCTTGACCCTCGGGAAGAGTGAGGCAGATGTCATGATAAGGAAACGGTGGCGGTGTCCTCTCAGCTCCTGAAACCACAAAAAAAATAAAAATAAAGAATATAACGATCCAATCGACGTCTCCGGGGAAACATCCGCAAATGGGTTAACATTTAGTTTTTAACCTATATTTGTGAGCCAAATAAGAAAAATGACTGGTCACTCCATGAAATGCCACATCAAGTATGTTCATGGGGATCCATTATTATACCAATTACAGAATATCAAAAAAAAAATATTTCAAATGCATGTACATCTATAAGTGTGTGACATGTAGTGGCATGCAAAACTATGAGTCTAATTACAGTCTGTAACAAAATAGCCCCTCCTCCTGCAGCATAACCTTTTGCAACAATTCACACTTCCTGGTTGGACAATGCAGACAGGGTCATCCCTGCTACCCTCCATCTGACTAGACAGCTGTACGGGGTCTGGATTGACAGGCAGGGTTGCTGTTGCAGATGGATGAATAATTTACTTTCATAAATTTTTTATCATTACCTTATTCTTTTTTTGTCAAGGTTATTTTCTGGACTCGAGTTTAAAGGCGAATATGTTAGTTTGCCAGCAAGCATGAAGAACAATGCATTTTGCATCACTTGCTTAGTTGGATTTTTTTTTTTTTTAGTTTTCTGGTAATGTTTAATTTTGCATACAATTTTATTCCTTGATCAGCTGAAAACTGGAAAAAAAACTTTTACTTCTGACACGCATTGTCTTTACTTCAGACCTACTGTACAAGTTATTCATTGAATGACTGACACAAATTCATCACGTTGAGAACAAAACTGATCTCATCGACTGACATCTCTCAATTGTAACTGATTCAAAATGTTAGTCATCAGTGAGAATACAGCCACATAATTTTTCTGATGTAGACAGATGTTGCAAAAAACGAGAATCACCTCCAAGCACCTCCAAACTCAAAGATGTCAACATCTTTCCACCCTGACATCCCAGTCTGCGGACCTCCCTCACCTCGCCACCTCCACCAGGTTTTCCCTGAGGGATACAGAGGCTTTTCAAAGATAGCTGTGAAATTTAATCTCTCCCACCTCTCCAGGATCTGCCCCAGGGTGTCCTCCTGGTCAGACGTGTTTTTTTTTTTTTTTTCGGACCATCACCTATGAGCCGCCCTGGAGGCATGTAAGGCGGATACTTTGCCCACCTTACCTCAGCCAAATGCTCCTCTCTAAGGATTTTATTCATCCCTAGTGTTGAGTTTGACATCTACAATAATAAAGCATGAAAGAAATAAATGGAGAGAAAAAAAAGAAATGGTCATTTGAGAATTTGAAGGCTCAAAATGGTTAAAGCATTTCACATCTCTGCAACTTCTCATAAATATTCCTTTTTTAATACTTGTTTCTCTCGACTGGCAGTACTACTAACATTTTTGGAAAAGCTAAGCTAGAGTTCCCACTTTAATCTGATAGATAATTTACAGAAATAGCTAAAGATTAGAATGATTGCAAGGAGCACCTCCAAACTCAAAGATGTCAATAATTATCTTTTCAATGATTATGAAGAAGTGTATAAATTATTTTAGGAATGCCCTTTTTGAATAAAACGTAAATGAAACCAAATTATTTCTTATTGTTTTTAAAAGATACCCCTTGCAAATTCTCTTTTTTTTATTTTTCAGAAGATACGTAGCTATGTGCTTTTCTATCAAACGCAATCTTCTTGGTAGAATGAAAATAATTTGTAAATCTAAATCTGCCTGTGTGGTGTGCCATCAAAAGTCTAAGGCAAAAATATCAGGACCTTCAGATGTAAAAATCACAAAACTATAAAAGTTTATTTCAAAATGATATCCATGCACAATGTTAAATCCATCTTGTATAATTTAAATGAAAAAAAAACAAACATCTGTTATAAGAATTTTAAAAAAATCAGTAAATGACTGTTGCATAAGTGTGCATGGCCTTGATCTAACAATTTGTTAAAGCATCTTTTGATTCAGTCTCAGTGTTGAGTATTTAAATGCTACGTCGTGACTTGACAAAGTATTTGCCTGCTCATCCCAACAAAAGTTCAGTAAAACTATAAGAACATATTTTGTCCACAACACTCCTTGGGTGGCTCTGCAGGTTTTTCAATTGTGGACTTTCCTTTTTCGATCATAAACACATTTTTCTGTTGAGTTGGATGTTTGCTTTTACTTACTGTAACACTAAAAACTAAGACCTTTCTTCCTGGTTAGCTTTGCTCCAGTTTGTACGGAGCCAGAAATGTGAGGTATTTCTTACTATTCGCTTTATTAATTATGATTGAACTCTGACAAAAACAAGCCCTTAACTCTAGGGTCTCTTCATCTTGCTCAAGGGTCTAGAGCACGATGATGCCATCACCATATTCAGCAGCGAGTGTGGTGTTCTTTTGGTAATGTTCAGTGATTTTTTTTGTTTCCAAACATACCACGATTTGCTACGAACCAAAACTACCTGTTTGGTTTCATCAGACAACAACACATTTTCCCAAAAGGTTGTGGAATATTTTATCCATATATGGATGTTTTGTTCTCAACTCCACTCCTTAGTCCAGAGCCATGAAGAAGCTTGCAGCTCGTTGTCACATGTAGCAAAATAATCAATACTTCTTGGAAATTGCTGCAGCTCTTTTTCTTGCTGCAGCCTCCTGGAGTGTCTATAACTGTCTTTTAATCAGTTATAGACAATTTTCTATTTTTTATAATGTGCTTGTTGTGCAATATTTTCTCCAAACATTAATCGCTGTCTTTACCGTGCCATCATGTGTAACACTGCAGATTTTTTTACCTGTCTACAATAATCAGATCATTGGCATCTTTAATTTTTATTAATTGTTCACTATTTTTTCTCTAAAACACATTTTAGAGGAAAAATAATTGAATTATTTAAGGTACATTTGGTGGGTTTCATGTTGCTTAATATCCTAGAAACAGTGTATGCCCAATCTTATGTCAATCATTCATTACTTGTATAACTTGCCAGTTGATGTCATTGTCCAAATAACAAAAAAAAAGCATTTAGAAAAAATAACAATGTAGATGACAAACAAATGGAACATCAGACGTTCTAACATTTTGAGTTAGAAATATTGTATAGAACACTACAGAAGGGAGCTCAACATACAAAGAACCGTTGTGTCAGTCAGAGTGGGAGCAGGCTGGTGATTTTCTGTCAGATCACAGAAGGATAAAAGCAATAAAACAAAGCGCAGCGATAAAAACCCAGCTGACAACAACAAGGTGGCAGGTTCACGGAGCTGATGCAAGGACAGCTGCAGTTATAACCGAAATGTTTAAACACAGTTTTGTCAAACAGAAAAAAAAGTTTCAGTTTTAACTAACTTTTCTGTCACAAAAATCCACAGTAGAGACAACCCTGTGTAGCACTAGCATACTCAGTCCTTAATGCATTACCTTCTTTTCCTTACTTTTTTTTTCATCCAGAGGGCATTAAAAAAATATGAAACTCAGTCATGTGCACTGAGTTAGTTTAATATTAAACTCACTGACCGCACAAACTCTCTGCAGCTCCTTTTCAGACTTTCCATTAACATATGTCCAAGGCACTCTGCTCACACCCATATAACGCTAAAAACACCCCTAAATGGGCTGAATGTGACCAAACTTGAACCACTCTCAGAGGTAGACAAAAGCACCCCGATCTGCATTAGTTAGCAGTCTGAAAAGCAATCTGTCCTCAGATACACTAAAGCAGTGCTTTTCAACCCTGGTCCTCAAGGCACACTGCCCTGCGAGTTTTAGGCATTCTCCTGTTTCAATACACATGATTTCAATTGATGGTTGATTAACAGAGTTTTGCTGAATTGCAATCATCTGAATGGGGTGAGCTGAAGGAGGGGGGGGACATCTAAAACATGTAGGTCAGTGTGCCTTGAGGAGCAGGGTTGGGAAATATTGCACTAAAGCGTCAACTGACCTGTTATACCGCTAATGCAGCAGGATTGTCACCTTTGTTTGTTGTTATATAGATAAATTCAGTAAATTACACTGGTAAAAATCAAGCAGTGTTTTCAGTTAATTTAACAACGAGGCTGACTGTTTTTGATCCGATCGCCATGATGTGCAATATCTCTAATAAATCATTTAGCAACAGTCAGCCTCCCTGTGGTGTGCCAGATGTTCCCTTACTTTCACTCAGCACTCATGCTAGGTGCAATGTAAAGTTCATTTGGTTCAGCTGATTTTTTTTTTTTATTTCATCCAAATGAACTCTTAGGTTACACAAATTAAAAATGTAATATAATAAAGTAGTCCTGAAAATAATGAGTTTTTATGACCTTTCAATGACTTTCCAAAGCCATCTGCAGCTCCACTGGACTCTCTTTTATTAAGGCAAGCAAGAAATCATTAAGGTTCAGCATTTTATTTAATTTTAATTAAAATAATCAAAGACTAATTGTTGGAAATTTCAACACAATGTTTACTTTGTAGAGATTCTGTATGTAAAAACGGGTTTATCCAGTAGAAATTATATATTTCAAAAAAATGCAGCAGCTAGCAGGCGGTTGTTTCAGTTGAAAAATTGTGGGAACTTAAGTCTTACATCAGTGAAGCTCATGGAAATCACAGACAGAGAGTTCTTGTAATTGAATCACATTAGAATCTCTTTTTCCAGAGTGGCTGGATAGTGTGCGAGAGCGGTCATTATGCCCAAAAATCTACTTTTTGATTTGTTGATGAGTGCAGTACTCGGAACTAAACTCTCAAAAAGCTTTTCCCCATCAAAGGCGCTGATGTTTCAGCCTATTTGAATGCAGCTGCTATCGAAGTTTATTTTGCACTAGACCCTAAGTTGTTCTTTTTTTTTTCTTTTTTTTTTGTAAAACTTTGAGAGACACCACACTTGCGTTTATCACTTGTCTTTGATGTCCGCACTGCCTTAGTCAAACTTTTTGAGTGAGCCATGAATAACCTGGTTCTGAGTTCAAAGTGAAGAAACTCCAGATATCCAAATGCAGGAAACATATCTATCCTCATTGGCTTTCAAGCAGACACCTTAAAGTTTTGGGCCAAAGCTGACTGGTACTTATCGCTGTTCATAATTTTCTTCTTGTTGGTAAAATCCTGTTCCAAATGGGGGGGAAAAAATCACTGGCATGATTCTATTATCTTTTCACTGTCCGAATGAAGTTCTTTGGTGATTGGTGGTTTTGTTTTTGGAATGTTGTCCAAAAGTTCAAGCTTAGTTTCATCAGATGATAACACTCTCCCTGAGAGTTTTGAGAGACTTTGCCCAGCTTTGAAGATAGATTGTTCATACTTATTCGCTAGTTTCTGCTTTTCATTTATTTTGGACACAATCCAGTTTAATTTCACTATCATCCTATATTTTCCCCAGCTATTTTGGCCCATTTCCATTATGCCATGTTAAATAAATAATGCATTGGGGCTTTTCGTACACCTCCCACAGCTGATACCTTTACTTAAGGCCAGGTGCACACTTATGGAGCAAGAATATTTCACCATTTTGATTTTACTGCATTGTCTTCCTTTTGCAGTATTGTTTGCTGCAAACAATGCAGCAATGCATTTCCCTAAAACCTGGCATTTTTAGGGAAATACAAACCTTTGAAAGCTATTGTATTGAATTTATTGTCAATTGTACATACATATCAGCCAAGATAATGCTAGGATTGTTGACAGCCCACAGTGTCATGATTCTATTGCATATAAAGCAAGTAATATTAATAGTATTCTTCAGATCAGACTTTATCGACAGGTGGAAACTGTAATGCTTAAAGTTGTTCACTTGTGTTGGAATCAGTTTGGATGCCTAGGTTTGAAAGCAGCTTCAATGACCTTTACCTTTTTGGATTCATACTTTAGAAGTTCTTCTCAAATTGAATCAGTAATCAGAATGGAGTGTTTCCAAAAATAAAAACATAGATGGTTTGTTTTCAACATAAGCTTTTATTTAAATCATTCAAACAGAATGTCTTTGTGCTCACTGCATAACTCTTTGATATGACAATTTTCTTCCAAA